CTATAACTATGCAAATTTTCCAGTCAAATGTTTCAAATTTTTATTTTTTCTGTTTGTACCTTAACCTCTTTCTTTTCAATCAAAGTGTGAATATATTTATATATATTTTTAAGTGTTTTTATCTCTCTCCATATATTTTTTAATTAAGTATCAATTGTTTTGTTTATAAACATTCAAATATAAAAAATAAAATTGTAGATACTTAGATGAGAAAAAATAGAGATACAAACACTAAATTAAAAAAAAAAAAGATTATTGGAAAATTTATATAAGTGCAGAAAAAGCAGTAAATTTTTCAATCACCTCTAAAAAAGAACTGCAACTATTATGCATACTAAGGGGGAAAAAAAGGAGAAGAAGATGAATTACTACTTGTAAAGCGAGGAACAGTAGGTTTCTAATTAACATTAGACAATTTCAAATCAATATGCCTAGGGATGATAATGGATGGGTACCCGACCTATTAATTTAATTTTTTATTCTATTTATTAAAAACTCATCATATAAATCTTTACCTAGTCCATATCTAACTCATATCCATACTAGTTTATCCATCTATTTAATATCCATTAAATTTAATTTATCAAAAATATTTATTTTAATCGCTATAATTTTTAAGAAAAAATTTTTTATCCTTAAATTTTTTTTTTTTTTTTTTTTTTACATTTTGATTATTTATTTATAAGTTTTTTTGGTCCTCAAAGTTTTCAAAAAAATAATAATTTGATATTTTATTTTTAGATTTTATGAAAATAGATCCCTACATATTAATAAATAAAAAAATCTAAATAAATTAGTGGATACTAATAAAGTAAAGAGTAGTATTTATATCTTGAAATCATATTAATACATATGTATTTTTATCTTTACTCACTTTATTATCCATTGAATATTTTTAATAAATATTTATTAAACTATGTAAAATGGATACTTGTTTTATATTCCATTTATTACTGTCCCTAATTATACCTACAACTCTTTCTTACAGCCTTATTCAGCTTTCGAGATATGGTACGTACCTTAGGTTATGCTATGAAAAACGAAACAAATTTTTTTTTTGTTTTTCCACTATAGATTGAAAAATAATTTTTTTTATAATATAATTTGGGTTTCCCAATATATATTATTATATATAAGGAAACCCCAATTATATTATAATACATTGTCGTTGTATAATATTATACGTTATATTATAGTAGTGTATTTTCTATCAATATTATTTTTATATTTATATTGTTGTACTTTTCATATATATTAATTTTTTTTTATATTTGCTCTGCACGTGTGTTATTTCATTATTAAATAATATTTTTTTATAATCTCTAATGGATTATTTGAATTAAATATAAGTAAATATTTTTAAAATCTGAATAGCTTTATGTAAAGCTTGATAATTTCATAATTTATAATTAAATTAGTTTGTTAATTGTTAAAACATATAAATAAACTTTAACTATATTTAAATAAAATATATATACATAAAATAGTTAGTAGTTAGTGTATATATGTGTCTGTTGCATGCATGTGTATAGCAATTTATAATTAAATCTTTTAAAAATAATAATCAATAAAAAATTGTACCAATTAATTTACCAGCATATTTAAAAATTAGAAACATATATTTCATATTCGTATCTTGTTATAGGAAAATTTCACGTCTTTCTTGAAAAAAGAAAAATAAAAAAAAAAAAGAGATAAAGAGTTTCATTATTCTATATACACTGCATAAAAAATAAAAGAAAAAATATGTGCTTATGTGAACAAAAATTTTATTCAAGTCCTACTAACTTTTAGTAAGATAATATAACATTAATTGGATTAAATTTTTTTATTTGAAGGAATTATTTCTAATCAAATGTATAGGCATTAATAAAACTTATAAACTGTATAGGCATTAATAAAAAAATTTATAAACGTGATAACACATTATCTAAAAAGAGAGACTTTGACCTCTCTCTAAAAATAAATAACCCCTCTCTTCTCTTTTCATTTCTGTCTAGGGGCTGTTGCTGACTATTTCTTGGTCAGTGGCCAGTCCCAAAGCCATCTTGGTTCTTCTTTTTTCTTTTTTGTTGTCCTAACAATTTCAGACCTGTTTCGATTTGGATAGTTCCAATTGTCTAAATAATTATAAATTTAGATCTATTTATTTGTGGTTTTTGTTATTGTTTGTTATCCTCTATATGTGAGGTTTTTTGTTTTAAGATTATATAGACTACAGGTTCGTTTGAAAATTTATGATACATGGAAGCATTAATTTACAACCATGAGTGAATTTCATGTGGTATAATTGTCAGATCTGTCAATGAAAAGAGATTTCAGTACATTATCATAGATTTGTTTTTCCCATCAATTGTACCTACTAGTGGGTACCTATTCTCCTACTGATAAGGGCTGGTAGAAGATTTTTGAATTTGAGAAATGGATAATAATCACATCATGGACAATCTGTAAAGGAAAAATTAAAAAAAACTCATTTAAAAATCAATGGATTAAAAAGGAGGTCAATTATTTTTGCTTCAATGCACAAATATTTTTTTATTTGATTAGCATCGATTTTGATTCTTGTCATCTTTATTTGAGTCTTGACAAAACTGTAATGCAGATTGTAATACTAATAAAATTACATTTTCTTCTAAAAAAATAATAAAATTATAAACAATTTTTTTAACACGAAGACGCTCGAGAACAAGCTTAAGTAGAGGCTCTGGCTTCGTGGATTGACTCAAGGGGCTGCTTGGAGGAGACCCAACCTAGAATACATGTCAATTTTTTTTTTTTTTTATAAAACCATAGAATTTGTCAAAATAAATAATAGAAATTTTGTGGATAATTTTTTCCCAATGAGTAAAAAGTAATATCAATAAGAAAAAATTTTCTTAAAAAAATAAGGGTGAAATTTAATAATTTGATGTAATTTTATTACTATTAATATTATTATTTTGCTTTTTTTAAAGCATTTTTAGAAATTTCACATGAAAAATAAAGTGCTAAAAATATACTATATAGGTTATACTGCATGAATATATAAACTATTTATGTGAACAAAAAATTTTATTCAAGTTCCTACTAACTTTTAGAATAAAAATACAGTATTAGATTAAATCTTTTTATCTAAAAGAATTGCTTTTAATTATAAGGATATGAACATAACTTATAAACAGTATAGACATGAAAAAAAAATATTATGAACCTTTACTTTAGTGAATTTTTATTTTTGTATAAATCATAGGATTTGTCAAAATGAATAATACAAAATTTACGGATTATTTTCTTCAAATGAGTAAAAAGTAATATAAGACAATAACGAAAAATTTTCTAAAGATAATATAAGGATGCAATTTAATAATTTAGATTTATTATTTTCAATTTTTAATATTATTGGTTTTCTTTAGGAATGGCAAAATGACTCGATTCGAGGTCGCCCGCCCCGATCAACACGGGGATTCTCCGCATTGACCGGGGAACGGGCGGGCGCCTCGCCTCGCAATTTTTTTGGACGGGGATGGGGCGAAGATGGGATTTGCCCACCCCGTCCCGTTTTGCTCCGTCAACAATGACTTATAGTAAGTATGTGTTGGAACATGTTTTTTCATTGTTTCTCTTTGAGTTCCAATTATTTGATCTCTTGCTTGGAAAACAAAATTATGCAAATTGTGTGTGCTCATTATAAAATCTGTCAAAACGGAGCAAAATGAGGCGGGGTGGGACGGACACAAACAATAAAACGAGACCACGTTTGCCCCGTGGGGATGGGATGGCAAATTCCGCTCCGTTCGGAGCACGGGGCGGGGATGAAGAATTTTTAAGGGGGCGGGGCGGAGATCGGGATGGCGATCTCCTCCCTGCCCCGCCCCATTGTCATCCCTAGTTTCCTTGGGGCTTCTTTTTAAGTATTTTTAGAGTTTTTATGGACAAAATAAAGTGCTAATATATAATATATTATATAAGAGTGATTTAAAAAAGTTTATTTTATGTTATTTAGGGTTTTATGTAGTTAATAAATAGTAAAATAGTAGAAAAGCGAGATTAAGTACCTATTTTTTAAGTTTTAAAAAATTCTTCAATGTTGGTTTTCTTTTCCTTGATTAGGGTTAGATTGAATTTACATATTAGTATTGAAAATATGTTATAATGTTAATATTTAAGAAAATTGCGTTTACATAAATGTGAGTGTGGATGTGTGTTTATTTTGGGTATGTCATTTTCTATAAGAGGTTGGTTCTGAGGATTTAAAGAAAGTGTTTTCCTCGCTTTTAAATTTAAAAACAAGGATCTCTCGGAAGTTTTTTTTTTTTTCCCTCTCCTTTTTGAATGGAGATTTGGAAAACAAACTCCATTGACTGTAGTTTTTTTTTTAAATCCTTCATACGTTCGAAAATCAGAAAATTGTTTTCCAAGAAAACATTTTCCTAAAAATAAATGGGGCCTAAATTTCAGAATGAGTGAAAATGATCTCAAATTTCAGGAAATAAAACTTTTAATTGACATTAAAAAAAAAAAATCTCTTCTGTCTGCTAAAACTCTTAGAGTTGGCTTACAGCTTCCCTAAAATAAACAACATTTATAATTTCAGCTTGTTTATATGCTATAAGAGTGCTTGGCGATTAGAATATAGGCATATATATAATATAGGCAAATATATATACCTAGAAAATTGGATGTTACGTTTCTCGTCTCCATATCTGTGAATTAAACAAGATCCTTATTGCTTAGTAACAAGAAAACTTTTCAATTTTTCTCAACTTAATAATTAGATTGATTTTACAAAATTAATATGATTTGGTGTAAAGACAAATTAAAGAGAACAAAATACAACAATCTCAAAGCTTGTCAAAACAAAATTTAATTCGGCTACGTAATAAAGGGCCAATAAGCACGTGTATGGGGAACAAGTTAGCAATATTAATAGCGAATAGTACTCAAAATGCTAGAGAGGAACAAAGAAAAGAAAGAAATTCAGCAAACGTGGATTGATTAATGACCTTTGGAAGCGCTAGCTAGGCAGATTTCCAGCAGGAGATGGCAAATAGGATTCTGCCTTTCCATCCCTGAAGCATCCACGGGCCATCCTGATCAATCAGAAAATCCTTGTGATAACATGACTTCACTAGTTCTCTCACTTTTTGCATGATCCCTTCTTTCAGTGGGAGCTGCCGGAGCCCAGCCCTTACGTTCCTAGCCTGCCACTGCTTGTATTTCTCTGGCCTTTCAAGTCTGTCACATCCTTCACATGCTATGACATTCAGGATTTCCTTTCCAAGTACCTCTTGCTCAAACACCATCCTCTCCGGATCTTCACATGCTGTATTGGCTTCAAGCATATCAAACAATGATGAGAAGTAGAAGAGGGCTTCCCGGAAACGTGAAACAAAGAAGGGAGAATCGTAAGCCCCGTTAATGATCCCATGAATGAAAACCGCTGGATTAATCCTCTTAATTAAGTTAAGAACAGCATCCCTCTGGCCATTCAAGACTACCGTCTCATCAAGGAGGTGCCGAAACCTGTATAAACCGCAAACAACTGTTACTTCATCTCTGTCGATCTTGAGGTCCTCGAGTTGCACATTTTCCCATTTTTGTGATATCGCATTGTACTCGAAAGGGACATTAAATTTCTCACAATAGCTTGCCAAGTAACGTCCTGTTTCTTCTAGTGCTGCTGCTGTTACGTTAAATTTCTGGGGAAACTCTATTCCTGTAATGCGAAGCACCGGAGGCCCACCAGGTCTTAATGACAGATGCTGAATTAAGGAAGGCCATGGGAAACCATAGAGAATACCGAAATGTATGATGTGAAGCCTTGCAGCGTTTTCAGCAAGCTCAATGACAGTTTGTGTTGCGAAGAAATTCGACATAATAATGAAAGGGCTAGCTGAAATAAGTATTCTGCAAACTTTTAATAAGCATGCGGCTGTCACCCCTTTAGCAGCAAGAGTTGCATACACCTCGCTTCCGGCGCCGGCCATGCGAGCCTGTAGGGCGTTAGCAAAGCAATGGGCCAGCCTTTGAGATCCATCACCACAAGGAGTAGACTGCTGCCTAATTTGTGTTAATAGTTCAATTGCACTCCCGTGATCATTGCCGGCTACTGCTTCTGCACAATGTATCAGAAGAGTCCTCATATCAACCAATTCCCAGCTACTAACTTGGTTCTTCCTGCAGATCATTCTATCATTGGATCCTCTTGATTGTTCTTTTAAATAAGATATCGTACCTGGACCATTTTGAAATGCTTCGTTAAGTTTGAACCGAGCAGGTTCGTCATCTCCACCAATAGAGAGAAATAAATCAGGAAGCATTCCATATTGCTCAGCGTCTTCAGCATAAACTGAAGAATGCTTATTCCTCCTCTTTTCTGACTCGTTCTCCACTCTGTAATGACTCTTCCTTTCCTTCAGATCCCAAGCCGAGGGAGCCCAATTACTTTCCTTCGCGGTCACTATGACTGGAGTCACTCTTTTATTTGCAAAATCAAGAATCATTTCATTTGACTGTTGTTGGAATTCCCAAGTCTCATCTGTCCCTCCCTTAAACAGCACATCCAATTGGCTCTCACCAAGGGCTACATTTACAGAAGAATCCACCTGCTCAGGAAAAGTTGGAAAAAAGCTTTCAGGAAAAAATGATGGAGTTGAATTGACCTGCAAACTGAATGGGACAGTGTAGTTAACAGGCGGAGCTCCTCTATTGTGTGTGAAGCTAGACGCAACCATGTCGTTAGCTTTGGTGGAGTTGTTAGAACCATAAATACTGCAACAGTAATTACTATTAGTCATAATAGTTTGATTTGGATCGGATACTTCACCGTCTGGCGAGCAACCTTTCAGAGCAAGGATATCAGAAAAGGGTTTTTCAGCAGCCTGAAGAGAAAAGTCCTGTGGATTAAAGGTTTGGTCCTCTGACTCTTCTTCCATAAGAATCTGACTGATGTACTTCAAAACACCGTCAGCTGTAGGATCTTTAAAAACTGGGTTCATGTTTAGAGACCTATCAGCTGTAGGATCTTTAAAAACTGGGTTCATGTTTAGAGACCAATTCTATGTTTTGGGTGTGTGAATTTGGAAGAACTATATATGGAAGGCCAGTGAGTTGAGAAGGATGTCTTTGGTCAGTATTTAGATGCATATAGCACGCAAAGAGATCTTGATATACTTCAATGTGCTTTTCTATACTGAAATGTACAAAACGAAGCAGCAAGCAAAGTCAATAAACAAAAAGTACTCTGATCTCAACTTCATTCACATTCATTACGACTGTTTCTGCTTCTTCATATAATGCTCCTTCGTATGCAGCTGAAGCTGTTGCAAGAAATGACCGTCATCTTGTTAACTGAGATGGATAAAAAGATTTCTATTTCATTAGTTAGTAACGTGCAACCTATATACAGGCACGTAATCATGGATTACAAAGTAAAGAACATGACTGAGAATGAAAGATCGCTAAACAGGTATCGTGAATAATTTACAGCATATTATTTTTTACCTGACTAATTAAGTAGAAGCTGAGTATCCGTGAAATGTTTCTTGTAGCAACACGCTCTGCATGAATATGGAAAAATCAAAGAGATCGAGCAACCTTAAATTTGACATTAATTTTGTGAATAGTAACAATTAAAGCCAAATGCAATAGCTTAATTGATTAATTAAGACCGGAAGAGTAACCTCTTTTTATAATGCTGAATTGGTTGCAGCAGTTTGTTTTCCCTGCTATATATGTCATTTTCAGCTGTACAGAACAGTGGATGCAGTCTTCTTCTAGTAACGTCAGACACCTAACTTATGATTTCATGGACGATATTGACAGACACAAGTATAAGAAGACACCTGGAAAGGATAAACCTGCACTGGACCATAATTTTTTTTATCTGAGTATCAAATTGACGCAAATCAATTCGGAAAGTTTATTCAAACGCGTACACAGTGGCAAAGCACCAAAGTTCATTTGAGGTAGTTTTTGAAGTCAAAATCTACTTTGAATACTCATTTTTTTGGCTCTTTTGTAATCCAGACTCGTAGAGCAAGACAAATTGATGTTGTTTAGAAACCATAATTTTTTTATTTGTCTTTTTTTATTAATTTCTGTTTAGTTTTTTTATTATTTGTGAATTTAAGAATGATTTATTTCTTTTCTATTCTACCTTTGTGTATTCAGGACACTATTTAAGTTATTTTCAAGTCTTTGACCGTCTTGATTAATAAATCTTAATTATGAGAATTCTCCATAGCTTTTCTGTATTTTTTTGTTTTCAAGTTTTTTTTTTAGAAATTGCCAAACTTCTTACTTCGCTCTAGGCTACATCAGATAGCTAGCTAATTTATACTAGAACTAAATATATATGGTAAAAGTTTGAACACCAATATCACGATTTTCCAAAATTTAGAAATAAACGTAAAATATTAGACCGAATATCGGGATTCTGTGTGAAAACAATTCATTTCCACGCACGCTATGCGCAAGGGACGTTGAATAGATTGTTTTGACCCACAGATTAGATTAGATTCCCCTCGTGTGCCATGTCAATTTTATGCATGTTAAGGAACACGTTCATTCCGTACAGCACGGGGAAACCAAATTCTTGCTTTTTGATAATTCCTTTTTCCTGGGCTTAGTTTGTTCTCCAAGCTTTTGACCCTAGCTCGAAGCAGTTCTGTCATTTATCATCTCTTGAATTTCAGGTCCATGACTGTAAATGGGAATACATAAAAAACACAGAATGTTCAAACCTCATTTTGTTACCCGATTCTAGATTATAGTGTTATGAATCCCCTAATCTTGATATAAATAACATGCTTTTAATCGGATTAGAGCGATGCATTTAGTTTTGGTGTCCCAAAAAACTAATCCGAGAATTCCACTCGTTGTAAAAATAGTAACAGTAATAATAATTAAACTTGTGCTCCTAGCCTTCTGCCCTACTGTAAATTGCATTATACGGGCCTACGGCCTAAAGAGAAAACAGGTAAGATATGTAGAAAAAAAACAAAAAAAATCTTAGTCAATTCAGTCGTCCAGTTCCTATTTTGGCCCGAGGTACCCATTTTTTCTTGAACTGGCTCGCAAGTCAAATTTCGCATTACGTAGTCATAAAGAAAAAAACATGTTGAGCTAGCAATAGCAAGCAATGTCATCAAAATTTCTCGTGATGAAGTACAACAATTAGACGCAAAATGCCATTAATAAACTATAGTGGGCTGTACTGTTATTAAGACATACGTAATAATGAGCCTTGCACAATGAAATCATTTTGGGTGAAGAAATTCTGCAGCAAGTGCATCAACTTTCTCTTTGGTCAAATGAATTATTTTCGGTTTGTGGTAATTCAGACACGTAACTTCATTCGTATGTACTTAAAATTCCTGAAAAAGGTGCTGTAAGTAAAGTAGTGGAGACCTGAAAGGTGAATCTTTTTTGTTTATTAATTTTCACACTGGAGAATATGTACGTTTTTGATAGGTTTCTACGATGAATGAATGTCTTGGTGCTCAATCGTGAGCTGATTGGCGTTCGTACGCAATTCAGGTATATTCAGACACGGATTGAGGCACGCAATACTGTACGACAAAACAAACCCGAGAGCACGGCATCGTATAGATAAGACATATAATTTAGAGCCAGCCTGGACGCTAACAAACCGACTTGACAAACAAGCAATTCGAAAACAAATTTCCTGTCGTTTGAAATTAATGCATCGGTAGGTAATTAATTTTACAAGAAGAAACCTACAGCATTTGGCTGCTTTTTGCGCGTTAAAAACATTTGAGATGTTGCTTTTTCACTTATCCTGCCCTGCCCGGTGCCACTGACTTAGGGTTAGTTGTGTTTTTGTTTCCAAGTGTTGTTTGGTATTAAAGAATAAAATTTTGAGAATATAAATAAAAGCTTTATTTATACTTTATTGATGTTTCGTTAAAAGAAATAAAATAAGAACGTAAATGAAAAGTAAAAATAAAAATAAAAATTATATATAGTTTTATTTTCATGGGAGATGTGGGAATTAAAACAAACGATCTGAATTTTTTTTTGAAAAAAGTGATATAGTATTTTTATTTATTGTGTATCAATTATTTTTATCATACCACAACTATCATCACTCTTTCTCCGTTGCCAACTTCTATGGTGGTAGTATCCATTTTTAAAAAATATATTATTACTATTGTTGTACGATTATTACTCCCACCACCCCTACTCGCTCCTAGTACTCCTCGTTCACTATCATTATCATCGTAATTACTTTTATTATTTTTACTACCATCATAATTGATAAAATTATTTTTTAAATAATTATTCATATTTATCTTAAAAACCGAGATAGTAAAAATGATAAATTTCATTACAATTTTTTATTAATATTTCAAAAATAATATTTGAATGAAAATCTCATTCGGTTTCTTAATTTTTATTTTGATTTCTACATTTTTATTCTAAATTTTTTTTTATTTCTAATAACCAAAATACAACCTAGAGTTTTAAAAGTTTATATACTAAGTATATATGTGGGATTTGTTTTTAGCGCATGTATTTGTTGTTTGAGTATTTCAAACTTGCAAATATTTCTAATTTAGTGCTTATTGATTTTTTTACTCGCACTATGTTGTAGGTAGGATGAAACACATAAAATTATTTTTAAAAAATTATTTCATTTTGATATCTCGTGTTATATTATGTATCTATCAAAATATATCAAATCAAAATCGAATAAAAATTCATTTAATTTTATAATTTTTTAATCAAAATTTTGTATTTGACTAATTATTCTTTATATTTTCATAAATTTTGTATTAAAAATATTATTTATTTATCTCTATCTATATTTTTAACTAAAAACTTATTTTGTAAATTATTTTTTCTAAATATTTTTTTCCTTAAAATTTTTAAGTAAAAAATCAAAGAAAAAAAACAAGGACCAAAGTGACCAAATATAAACAAAAAATGATCAAAATAAAATAAAAAATTTAAGGATCAAAGTGATTAAAATAAAAAAAGAGGGATTAAAATAAAACAAAAATATTTATGGACCGAACAAAAAAAACTTGAAAAATGAAAGACCAAAGATAATGTTATGAAAAATTTTATAATAAATATCTTTAAAAAATTTTAAAATTACAAAAAAACCATCATATAGTAAAATGAATAATGTATATAAGTATGTGAAAAATAATAGATATAAATCTAGATAAATAGTATTTAAAACAGTACAAATGATGTTTCTGATTTAGTTTTTTTCTTTTTTTAATGTCAGATTCAATTTGCTGTACGTTGACATTAACTTGATTGTTAAGTTGATATATGGCATGTTGACTTATCTGTCAAGTCTTATATTATCAAACTGCGAGATGATATGTTGACATGCTTGTCAAACTTGAATAAACTTTTCAATTTATTTCTAATTGAAAGTGTGCGTTTCTATTTTTATTATTTGAGTTTCTAAACTTTTTATGGTTCAAGGAATAAAAAGAACTATGGATAAAAAATTACCTAAAAGATGGAGAGTGAAATATATATATAATTGAAAGTGTGCGTTTTTATTTTTATTATTTTAGTTTCTAAACGTTTTATGGTGCAAGGAATAAAAAGAATTATGGATCGGAGAGTGATAATATATATATAAAGGCGAGTAGGTTATTTTCTATTTTTTTATAAAAAAAATTACACTCACATCATGCTATCTTTTTATCTGATCAAACCCATCACATTTATATAGGAGCCAAAGCTTATGATTTTTTTTTTTTTTTTAAGAATAAATACTATCAAATCTGAGAACATAAATATACTACCAATTACAAGTTACATCAAACAAATTTCAACCTATTAGAAGGAAAGGAAGCACTTTATAAAAACTCACTTACTGCTACATCGACATAATCTTGACAAGAGTGAAAATTATATACCAAAAAACCAATACTAATTTGAAGTTATCAAATAAATGAAAGGTCCACTATTTTTATTTATTGGTACTCCTTACATTTCCCAAATACTCCAACAGATGTGGCCATATTTTTGTATTATGATGCTACAGGGAGCT